AGGAAGGAAGGAAGGAAGGAAGGAAGGAAGGAAGGAAGGAAGGAAGGAAGGAAGGAAGGAAGGAAGGAAGGAAGGAAGGAAGGAAATAAATAAGGGAGAGAGGGAGAGAAGGAAGGAGAGAGGCATGAAGGCAGGAAGCCAACCAGAGCCAACTTCCCTTACAAACTATCTTAAGCTCATTTAGGAAAATCATATAGAAATAACTGCCAATTATTTTCAGTTTGAAGAACTGGTTTTGTAACTTGGCTCAATGCTTATCTATTGAAAATGCAGTGTAATTTCTGCTTTCCTGAAAAGAAAAACAATTCAAAGAAGACATTTAATCTGCACATTTTAAAAACATCTCTCCAGAAATAGCAGAAAGCATCTAATACTCTCCCCACTATTACTGTTGATAACAAACAATGACAGTGAACATTTAAGACCTGATATTATCAGCTGCCAATTCTTTGGATGTTTCTCATGGCAAAAACATGGTTTAGTCGGTCTATGGCATATTTTGTGTACTCATTTTTAATTATTACGGGATAGAACATAGAAATCCTGGATTTTTATTTACTTATTGGTGCCTGTACTGGGGCTTGAACTCAGGGCCTTTTACTTTCACTCAGTTTTTTCGCTCACAACTGGAGCTCTACCACTTGAGCCACGGCGGCTTCAGTTCCAAATTCTGGCTGTTCTATGAAAACTGTGATATTGTGGTGAATGGGCCAACACTGTCCCCATGTGACCAAAAACTGGCACTTATCTGATTTAAATAATGCACCAATACTTTTAGCCTTGATTACTAACCTTTTCCTCGACGGCCCTTCTTCAAAATCTGAAGAACTAACATCGTTGCTAGTAGAGGACACTTGGGATGCATCGTCCTTCTCATTCTCTGACTGTTCTGATGCTGGTCCTAATCCCTTAGATTGGTCATTACCAAGGAGCCCTACAGGTGAAAAAAGGGGATAAACACTTAAATATATCACATCAGGAAGCAGCAGTTTACCACAGTAAACCCTACACAATGGCTAACGAAGACAAACAAGAATGTGGGCAACAGAAAATTCACAAATGCATATCCCCTTTTTGAATGGGAAATCCAAAAGGCTGGAACTTTGTGTGTTTATTTGTAAGGAGTAGCTGGAGGAAGGAGAGACAACAGGGTCTTGCCATGTAGCCCAGCAGCTGGCCTTGAATTCATATTCTTCCTGCTCCAGTCTCCTACATCACAGGCATATATGCCATCCAATCCAGCTACGATTCTTTTTCCATGTATGTAAATATCATCTGTGACTGAAGCATGACTTTTTGGTTCGTCCAGCCATTCCACAAGATTTGACTATTTCATTCCGTGTGAAATCTCTCTTGAATTGAAACATTTAAGAGTGGTTTCTGTTCTTTGTGAAGAAAACTGGGAAGAATGGTATCTCTCTAATAGATATGTAATACATTTTATCTGGTAACGTTCAGGGAAAACTGCAGCACAACAAAAGGCTGGGACTTGCCCTGCTTATGCATGTGTGTAACTCCCTATGGTTTCAGACTTTCGATAGTGACATAAGGTTGGAAATCTAATGCTATGGAGTAAGTAAAATATCATGGCTATTTACTTGTCACATGGGGTCTTAAGGATCATGGCTACAGCATGGAAATAAAAATAAGCTTCCCAAATATTAGAAAGACGTTAAGGATGAATGTGGTCAGCATTTCAGGAATAATACCTGAGCTATGTATTCTAGTAAGAATTTGTCCCATACAGAACCATCTCATGAAAACCAACAGTGGCTAGTGTCAATAGGAAACAAATTCTAACAAACTATTTTTTCTAACTTTAATTTTTAAAATGCCAATGTTCCCTTAACATGGACCCACACACAATGGTAAAATCCATGCTTCGGGACTCTCTCCAGTCTGAAGCCAAAGTCCAGTCAAGATGGCCTCTCTGTTGCCTTTTCTTCCCCAGCTTCCCTTCTTTTTCTTCCCTTTTTCTTTTGAATACTCTTCAATAGGATGAGTGCATGGCTCAAGGAGAAGAGCATTTTCCTAGCAAGCATGAGGCCCTTAGTTCAAACCCCCAATACCACAATAAATGGATAGAGATAAATGTACCATTTCATTAATTATTTCAAGTAGATTAATTATGGAAATATTTCTGATGTATTAAATTACATCAAATCCACTACAATTAACTTAACCTGCTTGCTTCAATGTATTTGTGCCTCCAGAAAAGTAAAATTACCTATGTGTTTCAAATAACCTCTCTATTAGTCCCAGTACATTGGAGAACTAATGCAGACATAAGGGAAAACCAAATCATTAGGATGACACAGACTATACTTTCAACAGAGATTAGAAACAGACCCAAGGTCCTGATTTAAGATCCCTTCCCCTGCTCCAGGGGTAGGGATATGCATCTTAACTCTCTGAGTGAATCTTAGATGAGCTCAGGGTTTCAAAAATGTACATGTATGTAAAGGAGAATACAGCATGGAAAGGAAGGAGGGGATGTGAATTCATTTAATTTCTTAACACCTACTAAATTGCCAGGGCACTGGCATGGCAGTAATCAAACAAAATCTATACTCTAGTGACAGGAGATACACAAACACAGATGTACCGCCATTTAGTACAGTGTGCAAGAAAAGAACACAGTCCATATCTAGCAGGAAAAAAAAGAAAAACAAAACAAGACCAAGCTTTAGGGGAAAGCCAGTGATGATGAATCAATGTAACCAGACAGCCAAAAGAACAGGAATATACCTAAACATCAAAAAGCAGGAAAAGTGATGCAGGAGATAAAGACTAGCACAAGAAAATTGAGTATTTACTGGGCCAACAGCTTTCCCTTGAACTCTACCAGTGTTTCTCCAGCATAAGCATATAAAAGGCTCATCCAGGGAGGAGGCCTTACCCCAGACTGTCTATGCTGTCTAACTAACATTCAAAGGTGATCCAAGTCTCCATATGTTGAAAGCCACTAAGATAAGATGAATGTGGGCCATGTCAGTAAGGGAAGACCCAGCCCCCCACCCCCAGCCTTTATCACAACATAACTCTCAGGAATACAATCATACCAAAGGGCAGCAGCACATTCACGGGGGGCTCATCCCTTTTCCCAACAATTTTGTGAGGTGGCTTGCTAATAAAACTTGTCACTGGGTTATTACTAACAGTTAGCTGATACAAGAATAGACTAAAAAAACTAACATGTACAATGTGCATGCCTACAAAGTGTACATGTAAACAGGCATACACTATAAGTCATATACTTTCTCCCCCAAACAACTGTCTGAGCACAAATTCAAGGAAACTGTATGAAGAAATTTTGCATCATGAAAAATACGTAGGGACTTTAATTGACTTAATTGTGAGCTCAATGTGAGGCAAAGGAGGGCAATGATGCTGCTCTGATCCCAAGGCACAACTGAGCTACACTGAAAAGATTCAAAGTAGTGACTCCATTGTCCCCCTGCCCTCATCAGACTAGTGCCTTCAGAGCACTCAGCCTTTCCCCATTGCAAGATGAACAATGAGGTTGACCTGAACTAGAACAGACATCCATGGATTGTTGTCTGAATCCAATTCACTCTCCAGACTCAGAAAATGGGGCCCAGACACAGAAAATTAATTGCCTGTCATACATACAAACTAAAAGGGCCACAGCTTTTCCTGCTTTTCCTATCCTTTATGAAGAGGCAAGCCTGAATCTGTACTGCAAATGATCGACTTTCTCAATCTGAATACTCGCATTCTACATATACTGACTCAGAAAATTTTACAGTTATTTTTAGTTTGATAATCTGCATGGATGGATAAACCAGGGCTTTTATTCTTTCCTTTCCCAAAATTCACCCCATTTTTCACATCTCCACTATACTAGCTATCCCATTTCAGTCCTAATGTTTTAAACCAAATCACACAGCCTGCTTAGTGTAGGAGAGCCAGGTCAGCAAGATGCAATGTGGTGCCACAGGGCAGAATAGCCATTATTATAACATTAGAGGAGCTAATGTGTGCTGCCTTTTCTTTCCCCTGTGTAACAAAGCCCTGCTACCAATGTTTTAAATTATTATTTTTAGTCAATGAGAAATAATGAACCTTCATCCCCCCACTTCACACAATCACATCATTTTCTATTTTTCTAAAGCCCTCCCCCATCAACATAAACCTTTGTTAGGGAGAGGAGGTTAAACAGAGGAAATTGAATGGCCCGAAGATGCAGTCTTCTCACATTAACATTTGTTCTCCTCTATTAATATTCAGTAGGTTGAACTTAAATTAAACCATGTCTATTGTCTTTCACAAAAGCAATAAATATAAGCTGAAAATTCCAAATCATGGTGTTAAAAGACAGCCTGGGGATCGTGCCTGCACCCTGGGCCTAAACACCATCAGCTGACAGGGGCAATGTGTCACAGTTGGACACTACAGCACAGCAAGCAGAGAACCACCCCTACCACTTCCAAGAAATCAAACACAATCGAACCCCGCCACCAAGGACTCAGCAAATTCAGGAGCTATTTATCCCAAATTAGCAAGAAATGAAAGGGCTCCTAATGCCACACAAGGAATACAACACAACAGGCTTCTTCTCTGAGTCAGAAATCACAACAGAGATGGGCAAAATGAATTCCTGTTGGAGATTGTTGGGATTATGTGTATGATCATCTCCCTGTTGTCTTAACAGAAAGAGGATTAGAAAAATTGAAATACAACTTAGGCTGATGACTCCTTCAGCTAAGAACTTCTAACACAGTTGATGAGAAACCTAGATTTCAGAACACAGAAACACAATTTTATGTCTTTTCTACCACCCTCAAAAAAAGAACTAGTGTATACAGTCACACTAGCGTGTTTTGGACACAAAGAGGTATCTACAGTTCTTTCCCATCAGGTCCACAAATAGTAACAGACAACACAAAAACCAAAGGAAAACTTAATGCCTGTATTCCACAAAAGCAATGCCAAAAGGGGGTTAAAAAAAGCAAAAACAAGGAGGGCTTTGAAGCTGTTCCAGTGCTTCTCTAACATCTGGAGCACACCAAACTTATTAGCATATTAGGCAGAGTCAATGTATTTAGCTTTGTTGTAGGAGACACGCACAAAAGGTGATTCCATGTTATAGAGCCAACGCCGTCTGTCACCCTGTCCCTGTGAGACAAGGTATCACATTACATATTAAACAGTCAAGCTTCGAAAGAGTGCTTTCATTTTCAACAGCAGTTTCTCCCCATGTGTGTGCATGTGTGTGTGTGCTTTATGCTCGTGCAGCACACATATACACGTGCATATACACAAGCAGGGATTTGAGTTGAGAGGAAAACTATAAAAGCAGCCCCTTTTGGTTGAGGCCGAACCCTCTCTGAGGTAATCAGAATGCATGCTTTGCCGCCATTACTGGTGAAAAATAAAAGCCTACGCTCACCCAGACTTTTGAAAGAAACATTGGATTGTCTGCTTTACAGACAGTTTAGGCAATTCTAATGCTAGGCCAGCTTCACAGGGTCACCATGAATGTGGGTATTAACCCCAACTGTGCACATGCAGGTCACCAGTGACACTTGCAACAGAAGATAGGGTTGGTTCCAGGGCCAGGGGGCAAGCAGGGCAGAGAACCTGCAAAGCCCAGCTCAGGCTTGTCTACTGACATGCTAACCAGATCAACACACTGATGTGGATGAGAGCAAGTGCAGGATCATGAGGCAAGATGTCGGAGGCACATTATGGTCAATGAGGTGCAAATGACAATGGCTTCATACCTCTGATTATGAAAAATAACTACTTTCTCTCCTGAGAAAGACCCTTCAGTCAACTGGGGCTCCTCTTTGTCTTGTCTCAAATCAGCTTGGAGACTTTCCATCACTGCCAACAAAATGTAATATCACCCCCCCTCTCTCTCTATCTCTCTCTGTCTCTCTGTCTCTCTCTCTCTCCAGGGCCCTCAAA